GTCGACGTCGTACCCTGATTAGAACTCCGGTATAGCCGTTCATGCTAAACTACTCCTGAACAAGCTGCAGGCTGGGATTTGGATAACATAATCAGGCGGTTAAGTGGTCGGAACACGACGCTAACCGGCGCCGGACTTGGTATCTGGTAGGCCGTAGGCTCCGGACACCGGACTGTGGCGTGGCGTGGCGTGGCGTGGCGTGTGTGTTGGGATTATCCTGGTCAAATGTATGGAACAACAAGGAACCCCAAATGATGAGGCGACTGCAGTGCACGACGGGCAGGCTGCTCCCTGCTTGCTTGTTCAAAGTAGCATATGAAATGATCTGTGGATAGAGTTCAAGGTGTTTATAAAAGGTCTAGGCATCTGACTTATCTGCTCGAGACAAACTTGCCGCCCAGCCGAACGACCCTGCAGGCTGCGGTGGTCAGTCTCATGCATGGTTATTGGTTACAGATATGTGGAGCCTGTTTCGTCAAAATCGGCTGTTTTCAATCAGCAGTAAGATGGGGACGTGATCCACGGACCATATGTTATCTGCATTTTGACATGTGAGTCTGTTGCTTAGTTTGTGTTTGTTAGGTTGACTGAAGACGCAGCTTTCAGTCTGTACCTTTGCTGGTTACTATTCTGGAGTCAGAACAGGAGCTGATCCTGCTGAAACCCAACCCCGTGACGCCTTTTTGCCTGTTCAAATCAGGAGAAGGGGACACACACGGGCACCTGTTCGAAGAGCAGCCTGATGGCCTGATGAGATCAGAACTCAGATGATGTTCAAAGTCCAATCCGCAGCCTGTATTCTTTTACCTCGACCTTTTTTTTTCTGAACAGTTCTTGGTACGAGGGCTTGATTGCAGATCACTTCAGGTATTTCTAGTCTGTACTCTACACGTCATGCGCATCTCGAGACACTTGCAGCTCATCACCCACTCCGCCTACTAGGGGTTGCCTGCATACGCCGCGGCCAGGCTCTACGGATGCAGCAGTCGAGGGTTTGGTTGGCTGGTTGGAGGTTTGGGCCTGTCTCATGCGGTGCAAGATTCCTTCGTGAACCAGGCTCAACTCATACGCCCAAAATCATCGTTCCTCCGCGGCCAGGCTCGCGCGAGCCAAGCAAGCATGCAGACCGGACATGTCAGTGAGACAGCTGATACTCGCATGCAGTGAACCAAATAAAAACTCCGAACAGCCAGGTTCCGTGAGTACGAATAGCCAAACACCGGCTTGCGCATGCGCTTGGCCTGGCTACCTGCAGCCTGGGTGCCCACGTACAGCCTGGCATCTCAGAAGGTAACCAAACACGCCCTACGGCGCTGCCACTGTTTGACCGTCCATACGCAGTCCGTGGTCCGTATTTCTGACACGGCCCGTCTGTCGTCTACTAAGGGCATGTTTAGTTCTAAAAAAGTTTCTCAAAAAATGCTACAGTAATTATCACATCGAATCTTGTGATACGTGTATAGAGTATTAAATGTAAACGAAAAAAAACTAATTGCACAGTTTGGTTGAAAATTATGAGACGAACATTTTGAGCATAATTAGTCCATGATTAAACACTAATTACAAAATAAAAACAAAAATGCTACGGTAGCCAAATTCTCAAATTCCACGATCTAAACACAGACTAATCCAACGCCGCCTGGTTACTCCTGACCAAATATGTACAGCATAAATAAAGCCGTAAAGCGACGCCGTCTGTCCTCCTCCGATCTCCCACGGTGACACGTACCAAGACTCATTTTGCATGCCGTGTGAAGCATGGAGAGCAAGGTTATGGTTCCCAGGACGCTGGGTGTGTTCACGAGGCAGCAAACCTATTTTTTCTGTTAATCTGTTTGTTTGTTTTTCTGCAAACATAGAAGGGGTCCTCAGATTTGACACTGATGGCTGTGGACCCATTTTCTTGAGTCTGGTGAAGCCTCCAACTTATCTACGGCTCAAGACTGCTTATTCTTGAAGATATAGGCCGACCAGACAATCGAGGGGAGTGTCGGCTGTGCTATTATCGAGTGCGAGAACGAAGACCCTCAAGGATTCTATCGTGGCCACTTCTCGTGGGTCCCACGCCCCCGACTGGAACATTACCAATGTCTACCAAAGCAGATCACCAGTAGCTTTTACTTATTGTGCTCTGTAATATATATGGGGTTGTTGTAGTAAAAAAAAAGCCGTAAAGCGACGCCTCCTAAACAAGTGCCTCGATGATGTGATTAGTATAGTAGTAGGAGTAGCATCACATCGCTGCATTGTTTAGCAGATCCGTTACACGCGTCGCCGTCCAAGGTCCGTGGCCAACTCGACCGCCGCAACTGGGATGCAAAGTTCTCGTGCACCACAGCATCACATGAAGTCAGCAACGTATCCAACCGGGCCGGCGACCGGCTCTCGGCAAGGAGGAGGAGAAGGGAAGCGCGGAGCAGCAAGCAACGCTCCACATCACGTTGCCACCTACCCTGTTGACGCCGGCCGAGAGGCTCTCCCTGCGGTTTCCGCACAGGACCTAGCCAGAATCTGGCGGAAAACGCCAGCGATTACGAGGTGGGAAAATCGGGCGAGCGAGGCCGACGGCGGAGTCGGCGAGGGAGGAAAGCCGAAAGCGACGCGCGCCGTCCGGTTCCAGCCCACCCGAGAGGCCGAACGAAGACCCCGCCGGGGCGGTGCTGCTGGGCTGTAGTAGGGTCAGGCGGCCCGAGTCGTCGCGGGGACAGCGAGGCGCGCGAGCGGTTGCCAGGGGCCCAGGGCCAACTGGGAGTTGAAGAGTGATGGCTGCGGAAGGGTCGCCGTCGCCCGTCTCGCTGTTCGTGGGCCTATCCAGGTGCTGGCGGGCCAGCGCGCGGGTGGATTGGGCGGGGCCAGCGGAGCTGGCGAGCCTCGACTCGTGTTTGCCTGCCGCGGCGGGAGTGCGCCGCCTCGTCCAGTTGCCTCGTCGACCTCGACGGATGGACGTGCGCGGCGCGCCGGCGCGCCTAACCGGTCACCGGTCACCTCACGTAGATTTTTTTTTGTGATTATAAAGGCCATCGATGGTGAAGTGCCCACAGGCCACAGCGGTTGTCATGCAGTTTCAGGCACAGTGCGTGTCTGGGAACGATCGTCCTATCGTTTTCCTTCTCTTCTGCTTTGCCTTTTGGAGCATGACACGATGGCCCACGTAGAGCACGCACGCGTCGAAGTATTGAACAAAATCATGCAGAGTGGAGACCTTTTTTTTTTGAGCAAATGCAGAGTGGAGACCTGGGGAGGATGGGCACAATGTGGCCCATCAGCGGTGCATGGATCGTTAGTGGGCTCCATCCAACTTCCCTGCCGAGGGTGACAATGTTAAGGAAAAAATCCATTTTACCTCCCTAAACTATTTTGAAAGTCTAGTTTTCTTCCTGAACTCCACATAAAAATTTCACCACAATTAGACCATAGAAACTGCAGCTATGAATTAATTATATAAAAGTATAGATCTAAAGTTACAGCAAAAACTTTGTACTAAAGTATACCATATTATATGTTTACTGTGCAGATCTACTCATGGAGTCCAAGAAAATTAGATTTTTCATTTTTTTTGATTTTTCTGTGATTTACTATGATTTTTCAAATATTTAGCCAAAATAAAGAAAAAAGAAAAAAGACAAAATCACCTATAACAGAGCTAGGAAGGTAAAATGAACAATTTTAAAAGTTGAGGGACGTGGTTTACCCGGTTTTTGAGTTTAGGGAGGAAAACTAAACTTTGAGAATAGTTCTGGAAGCTAAAATGGACTTTTTCCCAATGTTAATGCTCGAATAAGGAAAACGAAAATGTCCACTTTATCTCCTTGACTACCGCAGTCGTCTGGTTTTCTTCACTGAACTACAAAATCAGTTTTTGGATCTCAGATGGTTTTGAACTTTTGATGATAGTTTTGCTGATGTGGCACCACATCAGAGGAGGTAAATGGGACTAAGTTGAAAATTCATGGTGGTAAATTGGACTAGAAATATATTTTTTAAAAAATATCCAAAAATCATAAAATTAAATTTTAAAAATTATCCAAATTTGTTTACATGGAAAAAATAATGCAGTTAAAAACCCTAAATTCGTAAAAATATTCCGGTCCACTGCTCTATCTTCCGGTCCAGGTTCTCTAACACTGAAGGCTCCTTTGCGTTTATTTAGCTTCAAATCAGCCACGTTTGTCAGTTGATCAGTCAGTGACATTCTCTTCCCCTTAACAGCCAGCTTGTCCCAAGCTGGTGCTAGTGCAAACCTCAGTCTCAGGTCCACCACATCTTCCTATGATGTTGTCCCAGGACGGTTCATGCCCCATCGAACCATGCTCATGGTTGCAGTTGACCTCCACGAGATGCCAACTTGGTCTCCAAAAGCTAAACAGGTAAAACTACAGCAGTTCGCCCTATTCGCTTGGTTTATAAGCCGTACGTTTTCAGCCAACGAACAATATTTTTCTCTCACAATAAATCAGCCAAGAGAACAGGGCAACTAATAATGGCTGAGAGATCAGTACCGACTTCTACCTACGGAGGAACATGCTTGCACTACACGATGTCCCACTCGTTATAGCACCTTAAATGGCCATAAAACTTAAAGAATAGTTAATGGTTGATCCTGGAAACTATTGAGTATTGAACATGGGGTTCAAGCTTCAGATAAACCAGATCACATTCCTAGAACTCTCTTTTAGATCTATTAGAGTCAGTTTAGTTGCTGTTGGATGAGCTTTGCGAGGAGATGTCTTTCATTTAGCCAATCAATCAGGAACCACACGATCAGTAGGGTTCAGGATGCCCAAAAGCCTGGGTGTACGGCCATACAAGACTTCGGAGTATGAAGCAAACTACATTGGTCTATTTGTGATGTTACTCATACAGAAGACTTTTGAGAATGAAGCACTAAATCCAGTTACAAAAACATGCTACTAAGACGCTTATGCGTTTCAGACAACACTGAACAACGAAACCCTTATATAAAAGTTTGGCATCGAGCAAGAAACTACCAACATGAAATTCTACTGCGAGACACTGGTCTGAAGTGGCAAAGCACTTTCAACTTCAGCTTCCTTTGCTTCTGCCGCTGATCTCTGTGCAACAGCCTTTGACATCCCAAACATCTGCGCAATCCATGGAAAACAGAAGTCTTGAGCACCAAATACATGACAACCGCAGAAAGACCAAAGCCAAAAACAAATTCAGTGCAACTGACCTTCTGGATTGTCTTCTTAAAGCAGGTCTTGTGCTCATCCATGGAGGCATGAATGAACTCATCGATGTGGTCTTTCAGATCTTCGATGAAGGTAGCATCATCTGTTTTCTTCTTCCGGCATGATGCCATAGTGGGATTTTTGGGGACAGATGGGGCCGGAGCTTCTGTCTGACCATTGCTTGAAGCCATCTTAACACTGGACCAAGAGCAATAAGAAAGAAAAATACATGTTAGAGATCTGGTGAAACTTGAAAGAGAGCCATGGAAAGCCCATGCTTAGCAACCAATGCACACATCTCATCAGAAATAAGACTGGGAGAGTGCTGAGGATAAATCACAAGGAAGCTTTCGACCCACTCAAGGATAGTAAAACATATGAGTTAAAACACTGAAACAAGAGCAGAGCTATGAAGTTCCAAACACACTAGCAACATCAAGATACAAAAGAGGTCTCAATCGTTAACGGAACTGCAATCCATCAATCCTTATGTAATGAATGAACAGAAATACTAGCATTACAACAACTAAAAGTAAATGAACAAGGTTGACCTTATTTTTGGACAATAGACTATAGGCAGCAGTGCCATAAAATGCCCGGTGAGCACAGAATGTCCAGATCAAACTAGAAACAATAGCAGCATATTTGCGCTATTCTGAAATCCCAAAGTGGGGAGGCACATGAAATGCATCAAGCCATCTGGCTGTAAGGTGTAAGCTAATACTACAACTGTGCCACATGCTCATCCTGTTCCTGACTGTTGCTCTCACGGCTCGCACTACTGGGTAGGATGACAACCTAGTTTGCTTTTAATTTACCATTCCAATAGACACAAGTTATTAGTGCGTATAATCCAATCCGACACAAGCTATTACTATTAGTGTGTATGACCCAATCCAATCAAAACATAAGGAAATGCAAGGATCCACCCAAGGTGCTCTATCACTATTCACTCCACAAGAGTTTCGACGAACAGCTGGCGTGCGCCCACGCAGCAAGGCAATCGCGGTCTTTCAAACAAGCAAAAATAATCGCGGCCGGCGGCTCCAGCCCACGTTAGCCGCGGCCGCACCGGTGCGTGCACCCGCCCGACTCTACTCCGGACAGGGGGGAACGGCATGGATTGATGAATCGATTGATATAGGTCGGGGCGATTCTTCTTACGGTCTTACCTTAGCAGGCTGACGAACACGTGGGGAGGAGAGTTCGCGCGTCACGCCGTGACAATAGTGGAGAGGGGGGGTCGCAGCCTCGCAGGCAGTGGATGGCGAATTGGCGATCAGAATGTGAGAGGGGTCTTGTCCTGTTTCTTGCGCCGGAAAACAAACGGATTTGGGGGAAGGCGGACGGCGGGCGCCTCTGGTTTTCTTTCTTGGAGCGTGGGAAAGGAGGACGCACAACCAGGGTAGGGATGGGCCAGAAGGATCTGGAACTGTCCACGGTGGTTAAGTTTGGGCCTAAACACTACACGTGGGCTATACATTCGTTGCGGGCTTGCGGCAGCTCGTGGGCTCGTGGTAGGTCCATCGGCCATCGCCGCCTCATATCGCTGCAGCCTGCCGCTGCAGCACAGCAGCAAGCAACGCGCTCGTCGACGGTCGCAGATGCCCGTGAGCGCGTGCACAAGCCGAGACGAGGCAGACGTCGAATTGTCGAAACGACTCACCAAAATTGGCGCTGATCACTTTTGCAAAGTGGTGCGTGCTCTGCTCTCTCGTTCAGACGTTCCGGAGGTGGCGCTTGTGCAGTTTGTGCAATAGTGCAAGTGACACGGTCGCTGCTTTTTTTTTTCGGATGGCTTGTGTTGCTGCTCCAGCTAATGTTGCAGGTTTGTTGGCAGCTGCATGTTGCATGAACGGCATCAACCCATATGGTTACTGTAAAACTGTTTACTCCATGGTAAAAGAAAGTTAAGCAAAGGAACTGTTGCTAGGAATATTCAGCCATTGGAATCTAATCTAAGGATCATAACAGCTCAATGTAAAGATAGAACACAGGCAATAAACATCAAATCAAAGTACCCAGAAGCACGAAATCATGGCAAATGGCTGCGGTAACGATTCAATTTCAGGCACAGATAGAGGTTCACATTCTAAGAACTTGAAGCAGAAACACAGAAGGTTCATGACGAATCACTGGACCAACCATTCCCAAACCACTACCACGACCAACTAGCATGACAATACTATGATACTAGTTTCTGGGGAGACCAAAAAAGTCTCAAGTCTTCACCACCGTAGAACACCCAAAGATTATTTACATTTTGTTTCCTCAAGACGATCAGAACACCTTCAGTGAGATTCAACTGCTGCAAGACAAATAGACGATCAGAACCCCTTCAGTGAGATTCAACTGTTGTTGCCGCCGGCTTCGCCACCACCTCCGGAGTTTCATCATCCTTCGCCACAGGCTCGACCTTCTGCTTGCCGAACACCTACAACATGGCACAGGCAGAAGAGATTAGCAATAAAACATATCATAATCAGGGAAGCAGCTCAACAAAAATGATGTGTATTAGAAATGCACAACAAGCAGTAACAGATTAGCCACTGAATTTTAAGCCACAAGCCTGAAAGGTCTTACGAGGAGGAACCAGCACAGTGCATACCATTATCTACAGAACATGCATAACAAGCAGTAACAACTTTAGCTACTGAAATCCAGGCCACGAGATTGAAAGGCCTTTAAAGCATGAACCAGCACAATGGAAAGGATTGATATCTACAGAAATGCATAATAAACCGTAACAGATTAGCTATTGAGATCCAAGCCACCTGATAGGTCCTACCAAAAAGCCCACCCCAGTCGGAATCAGCAGAATGCAAACGATGTCTATTAGATTGCATCATTAGCACTAACAAATTGGACTCTGAAGAGCAGAGAACCCAGCTAGATTACTACTGGGCATAGCCTTAATCCTGACCAAATCTATTCAGGACATGATGAGAAGAAACGCAATATTGATTGGACCAATAGGCACGACAGGGCAGGGGAATCTTGCATACCAAGATTCAAAATCAATCAGCACACATTCATGCAGGGGAAAAAACTGGACATGATGGACTGAATAGATGGTCACAAAATAACTAGCATCACCAGCCAAATCATCTACAGAATCCACATGCTTTCACTAGAACGTTGCTACACTTACCCGAGATGGATTCCAACCGCATAAACAGGAACTTATTCACACAGGCTTGAAAAAAAATCACAATACCAACACCATGTTTCCTGAACAGACTGACTTGAACACACAGACTTGCTAAATCTCCTATTCCCCGTTACCCCATGATCAGTTTAATTCAAGCCCGAAAGAAAACGAGGAAAAAAAAACACTACCATCACCATCCAACAAACTGGCTACCACAATACTACCAGAAATGGATTCCAAAAGAACAGCATCACCATGCATGTTTGCTAAAATTACAGAAAGAATTCTGGCTACCACAATACTACCAGAAATGGATTCCAAAAGAACAGCATCACCATGCATGTTTGTTAAAATTACAGAACGGATTCGAACATCAGAACATGCTAAATCGCTATTCACCATCATCCATTCGAGATTAAGAGAAAACGAGAAAAATAAATACTACTACCAACTATCCAGAAATCTCTGATCGGGTGAGAACACGACGAGTTTCTGAACGCTTACCGAAAATAACACCACTAATTGGTACCATGCTGGTACTAGCGATGGATTCAACCCAACGAATAACTCCATTCGCGCAGAAAAGACAACCCAAAAACAAAGACTAGCATGGCATCACCGCGACGAAAACCCTGATCCTACCAGGTGCAAATAAACCGCAACTACACGCACACAACCAATTTGTCCCAACTCCCAACCAGGCAGGCCGCAGGCACAACAAGCAAAGTAGTACACCACCAAACAGCTATGGACCAGAAGAAATCGCCAGCGAGAGAAATCATGCGCGCACATCATAGAACGAACGGGATATAGAGAAGAGGATAGGGGTGGGCGCAAGCGACATTACCGAGCCGCACTTCTGGTTGAAGTAGTTCTTGAGGCAGATCCAGTGCTTCTGAGCGGGTATCTCCTTGAACTGGTTGAAGTAGTCCTTGGCGGTCTCCAGGAACGTCGCCTCCTCCCCCACCGTCTTCTTGTAGCACTTCTCCTGCGTCTCCAGCTCCTTCTCCGGTGCCGGCAGCGGCGCGGTGAGGGTCGGTGTCGCGGTGTCAGGGTCGGCGTCGCCTCCTCCGGCGCCGCCACCGCCACCTTCTTCACGACGTCTTCCTTCTCCATCGCGACCCCAACACCAAACGAAGGCACTCCGACCGAAAACCCCGAGAAGAGGAGATGAAGAGAGAGGGGGCTAGTGGTGGATGGAGGAACGGAACCGAGGAGAATGGAAGCTTTTGCTGTCCTTGGTAATGGTGCCGAGGCGTCAGCTTTTATAGGCAGGGGCCCGGGCCGTTTCCTTGGAAAGGAAGATGAGAGCGGGAGGAGGGGCAGAAGGCGTGGGCTCGAGGAGAGGAAAGAAACGACGTTGTCTCTCTGACATGTGGGATCAGAAATGTTCCGGTTCGTTCGGCGTCTCCTACACTACACACTGAGCTGTGGGTCGAAATCCATGCACCGGGCGTACGTCGAGAGCCATTTCTTGCGTTTCCCTTGGGCTCACGGAGGGAGGAAGGATGCCTTCGATGACGGGTGGACCCGCATGAGAATCCGACTTCCGTGAGGAGCTCTTCGTGGGCCCGCGAGTAGTACTGAGCTGAGCAGCAGGCGGTTGCAGGCGCCAGGCACAGGGCAGCTGGCCAGTTTTTGTGATTGGAAAGATCCAGAAGATATGACTGCCACGTGGTCGCTGAGAACGGGACCAATGTCAGAGACGGTTGAGCGGGGAGCCCCGTGCTCTGGCGTGCAGCCGTGCAGGACTGCAGGTTGTACAGCTGGTTCTGCACGTTTTGTGGCGCGTCCGATCGTTCACCAAGGGCTGAGATGGAACGACGTGCATGGAGTAGCATAAACGGGCCGGGCCGGCCCAAACAAGGTCGTGTCCTTCGCTTATCTGCTGACTGCTGCTCTGCTCTGCCAACGGCCCAACGCCGGATTTCCCTTTGTCTTTGTGTGAGAAAGTGAGAGGCAACTTCTGGAACAGCCAACGCTCCACTTGGCACCGTTCGGCTCAAAAGTCAAAAGAAAATGCACTGGTCAACGGTGATCGTCAGCTCTGAGTCCTCCCTCGTAGGAGTATTCTAGTGCGAGTGAATCGCTGCATGCCTTGGCAATCAAGGAAGCAACACACCATTTGAACAGCTCTGCAGCTTCCAATCGGCCACTGCCTGCAGCAACCAAGCAAGCGCATGGCTTCCATCTCCGGCAAGTCCCCGCGTTTCAAGGTGCGTCTCTCTTCTCATCAGTCTGCTAGAGCTAGAAAACCTCGTCGAAATTAGCCTCTCCATTAAGGTTCTTGCTTGTGCGAACCCTGACCTTGAAGATCATACTCGGATCGTCGTCGCCGGCGCGTCGCGAGATCTTGGCCGACATGGGATACGAGTTTACCGTCATGGTTGGTTGACTATACTAGAAGCTCGTACTCCAAACTGTTAGCTCTCCGAGTTTCCTGCAATATATTGCAGTCTGTTCATCATCATGTTGGATTCCCCTTCTGTCAGAGCGCAGACATCGACGAGAGGGCCATCCGGAGGGAGGAACCAGAGCAGCTGGTCAAGGCCTTGGCTGAAGCCAAGGTACGCACTAGCAAACGTACTGTGATGTTGTTCTTGCTGGTGTTTTTCAGTTGGATGGCATCCAGGAGTAATGCGTTTCTTGAACTGCAGGCTGAGGCCATCAAGCTGAAGCTTCAGGGCGACTCTGCCCCAGACAGTGACCAGCCTGCCCTTCTGATCACCTCAGACCAGGTACAACGTTCAGCTTCAGCCTTCAGTGGATTCGCTTTTGTACACCCATGTGGGTTTTGACACCGTCTGTAACCATTTTCAATTGATTTTGAGCGCCGGTAAAGGTTATGGTGAGCAAAGGGATTGTAAGGGAACGGCCACGGAGTGCAGAAGAAGCCAGGGAATTTATCAAGGGTGAGAGGTTATCCCTCCATGTGAACTTCAGATGAGTCATGGCTGAGAGGAAATGACATCTTCAGGGGAAAGATGTGTTATGGTTCTTCTTTGTTGACAGGATATTCGGACGATCGAGCATTTGCAGTTAACTTTGTTCTTGTCACCAACCTGAGCACCGGGGCTACAAAAGGAGGATGGGACATTCCTGAGGTAACTGATGACATGTCGAGATCTTCTCAAAACTGAAACATTAAGTAAGCTGAAATATTAAGTAAGGTCTTTGTTCTACAAATCACGATGATGTCGGTTTTGCTCTGCATTGCTTTTTGCAGATCAAGTTTCGGCACTTACCGGACGAGTTCATCGATAGAGTGGTAAAGCCTCGGCACCCTACAAACGTTGTTCTGCTTCTAGCATTGGGTATTGCAATCTATGTACACAGCAAACTCTTTGTCCAGGTTAATCAGGGCGACATGACCTGCGTGGCCGGCGGGCTTAAGCTGACACATCCCTCAGTACAGCCATTCATCAAAGAATTGGTGAGCAATCCCTCGAGTGTTTGTACTTCACATGCGAAAAAAATAGCATAGCGTAATTTGCAGTTGCAGAACAAACGTGAATTCAGATTTTTATTCCGGCCCTATGTAATTTCCGGGGCGGTTGCGCAGGTCGGCACGGTGGATAGCGTTCGAGGTCTTCCACGGGAGCTCACCGAGAAGCTTATTCGAGAATCGCTGCAAGAAGAGTGATTTGGTTTGCAAGCAGAAATTCGTCGATTTGTTAAAGCAACTTCGACCGATTACTTATTCCTCGTCTCCTAAAAGTATATATAGTTGATCTCGTATTATTGGTGGTGTAGCCTTTTCCTCTTCTCATCCAACAAATTATCAATAGCTTTTCCAATGGATAGGAGAGAGATAGAGAGTAGATCTACATTTAAGGGGAGAGTACATTTAAGTAATTACTTAAAACCTTTAAGTATTGGGGATATGATGAGCAATCTCATGCAACAACAATTTTTTATATTGTTCTTTTATTAGAATGAGATCATTCCATACCTTGCATGGCTAGGACTGGAGAGCCCATTTTATTGGATTGCGTTAGCAAGGAAAGGCTAGAAAATACAGACCCCGAGGCATTGGTTGTGCCTCCAAATACGGTTCAAAGGTCGTACTTTTTCAGTCAACGAACAATATTTTTCTCTCGCAACAAATCAGGCAACAGTACTTTCAGTCATGGCTTATTAGCGAAACGAACATAGCATTGAACTAGGCTACAAAGTAGCCAACAAAGATCCAAACACACCCTACGTAAACGACCACACATGTGAAAGTATTTTTTTCTATGGTCTTATAAATGTTGTCATCAAGCCCTCCTCCTCCTGTCTGTCACACCTCTTTCTCTTTTCATGCGAGTGTCTTCTCCGACGGAGATACTATGTAGTGAGATGTGAAAAAAACTTAGCACACACCTAAACATCGATCTGGAGTTGGACTCAGGAGGCACTTGTGTGGAGAAAATTGTTTCTTTGCCATTGGAACTTATACTTGTTTGTTATGTGCCATTGAAAAATATATGTTCTCTATGCCATTAGTTTTAATTTTCTCTTTCTTGGCTGCCATTGCCGTTAGATGCCGTGAAAATTTCCCGTTACTACCACTTGGTTCCCTCCGCGTAACGTCCGTGCCCATATCGCTGCAAGCGATCCTTTTAGGGCTATTCAAATTAGATAACAAATCTAGGAATATTTCCAGGGAGTCATTCCTCTTTAAACAAATGTGGCCTTAGGGAAAAAAATCTATGGTCTCGTTCGGCTTACCTTATAATCCGCATTATTCAACTTATTTTTTTAGCCGGAACAGTATTTTTCTCTCATAACAATTCAACCAGAACAGTATTTTTCAACCAATTCAACCAAATTTCAGCCAGCACGAACAGGGCCTGGCAAGCCGAGGGCCTCTAGTGTCTCGCAGTCCTAGCACACTCCTGCCGTGCGTCACGGCCCTCGCACCGTCTCACGCCGTGTGCTGCCGCATCTCTCTAGCAGGCTCCCGTGCCGCGCGCCCACGAACTCCCACACGCCACACGCTGAGGCTCGCGAGTCGCGACTCGCAGCGTCGAGCCGTCGAGGAACTTCCGTGAACACGCCACGACGTTGATCGAGTAGTCATGGTACGCACGCAGCCCGCATGCTCGCCGCGCATTGCGGCCACCGCCGGCCACCTCGCTGTTAGTAATCTCACGCCCACTCTCGCCGCCGTGTTTTCCGTGGCCTGTGGCCGCCGGCCTGCGCACGCTCATCATCGCCAGTCGCCTTGCCGCCCGCGTCGTTGGTTGTCATACGGAGGCTCGCGACAGTGCACGCACGAGATGGCGAACCCCACGCACTGTAGCGATGCCGAGCGCAGGGAGGAGGACGCGCTGCTGCCGAGCGGGTCCGACCACATGGCAAGTGTGGCAAAGGAGGCCGCGGCGCGCCCCTCGGATCTCGGAATCGAGCACCCAGCCAACCACGCCATCCCGTCCCGCGGTCAGGCGTCGATCGCTCGCGCATGGTGACCTGCGGCTCCTGCACCCCACAGGGACCGCATCGCCGCCGGCACGCCTCCTGCGCCTCCTGCCATCCTCGCGTACTCACTCTGCGCCGTTGAATCCAAAGATTGAACAGCCGAGCAGGCTTCTTCGAGCAACAGCAGCCTTGGGCGCAATGGACGATAAGGCCGAAGTAGGCTAGGTGTTGTTCGTGGCGTAGAAAAGTCAGGTGCTCTTAGCGGGGCCCACTTGAAACCCAAGATGTAACCAAACTCCAGCCAAACAATGGATTGGATTCAAGTCTAACAGCATCTAACAGATTAGATAACGGTGATGGCATATAAGAGGAAAAAATTGTGATTCAATGGCAATGAAGCAAAATCTCAATTTTCAATGGCACATATCAAAATGTTACTAGTTTCGGTGGCATTGAACAAATTTCTCCTTGGTGTGGACCATGTGACCACTAGGAGAAAAAAAACTCGACTTAGGAGGCACTTGATGTGTACCACGCGACCACTTGTTAATTAGCACGTTTCTTTTAAATCCATTAATTGTGACGACATCGGAAGTCTGTGATCCAAATTCCAAACGACACATATGACTAATCAAACGGAATGCATTCAACGATCTGTACGCATCCGTGGTCTCCGTTCATCCTTTTGAACAACGGATCAAAAAGTCAAATTCTCGACTCTATTTAAAGCCCGGTCAATCTTCTATAAATCTTCTTAATCCATATTAAAATCTTTATTTATGCACTAGGTATTCCTGGGTGTTATACCTTTCTTCTTTTCTTCCCACATCCTTCCACCTCACGTGATTGAATCATACTAAGGTCCTATGAAAGTGCATCTAGCTCTTTAGTGATTTTTGGTTGATTGAATGATAACATAATTATAGGTCTGACAAGTTTGCTAAGTGTTGAACATGAGATTAAGTATATTACATACACTTGAAGATATAAATGGTTCCATAACTTGACGTTTTGCCATATTGTATTGAAATGACATGCCAAGTTGTACATTGTTGTGATTGAGGGTACGGAAGAATCTTGTTCAACCAGAAGATAATAATGCAAATGGAGTTAGTGAAATGGCTTATTTATTATGGATATCATGGCATCATATGAAAGCAATCATATTTGGTAAATGGCGAACGAGACATGAGTTGATGAATATGGGTTGGTCTCATGGGTGGCTTACCTTGCATGAACAAGAAGAGTTTGATAGTGGTTTGACTTTGATCAAAGTGTTCAAGACTGAGTCCAGAATGCATAACTGAGGAAATGTCACGCAGAGGTCAAATGACAAAGGAGAAAAAATATAATGGATATAAGATGGTCTTTATATTGGTTTGTATGGATAACGATTTGAAAAATCACTATGCATTGATTTAATCAAGATGGAAATATGAAGATAGATATTGAAATAAGTGTTATGAGTGTCAAGCAAAAAATGAGAGAATATAAAGAATAGTGAATTGAGCTTGACTATATTGGTATTGATCAAATATGCGATCAAAAGAAGATGAGCCAAGTTATAGAAGGTTTGTGCACGGGTTCAGAGTATGACTTGGATATGGATAATAATGGTTGCTATAGAGACTTCAATTGAAAGCTCAATGTTGATCTTGAGATATGGTGTGACTTGAGTATGGTTTGATAGGGTAAAGGTAGCAAGAAAATGGCTTCGAAGGACCAAGCAAAGGCGAAGAGCAAGCGAGGGCTTGGGCAACGATGGACCACGACTGTGGTTAAGAAGAAAGTACTTGCATTAAGTCGAGGTACTAATCAAGCTACGAGAAGTCATATTATATGGAGGATCAAATCATTATTGGATCATAAATGAAAGTAACTTGAAGACATGAATGAAACACACATGTGATGACATGGTTCAAGTCACATGCTCAAGGTGATTTGCTCAAATAATTAAGACAAAGGTGCTTGCAACCCTTTTGAATAGACATTGAGAAGACATGGCATATGAAGACACTAAAGACTTAAGTGATCGAAATAGACATATCCTTTTGATCTTAAGTATAGATATGTCATACTATCAAGAGAGATGGAACACGAATAGTTAGACACGTGTCATGCTACCTCAGATCTTGACATCACTATCGGTTAAAAAACCCTCTTTATTGTTGGATTTTGAACCGACAGTGGCATACCGGCAGTGACGGAGGGTTGACATCACTGCCGGTTCTTATAAACCGACACTGACGTGAATCCGACAGTGATGTGGAAAGCCAAAAAATGCACTAAAAATAAGAAAATAAAATTTTAATACCGGGAGAAGTCACAAGTCACGCGATTTTTTGCGTGAAAAACGCACGCATCGTGGCCACCGATGCTAGAACCCCTAACCTCCTACTTCGCGTCTTCGGCCTCTAACCACTCCATCTGCAAGCTGTTTGTGTCCAAATGAGATTTTCGTCCTAGCCATTTTATGTTCATCTGATTTTCAAATGAGTATTTGGGACCCTAAACGAATTCAAATGAAAAAGTTGTCAACTACAAAGTTTTATAACTTTTCGAGATCTACAACTTTTATTCTGGTAGTTTCTCCATCCGAGGTCGTTTACAAAATTTGAATTTTAAATTTGAGAAATTCAAACGTGGTTTTCCATGACAAGATGATTTCAAATAAAAAAGTTGTTAACTACAAAGTTTCGCAACTTTTGAGATCTATAAATTTTGTTTTTTCTGTTTGTCGAACCAAGGTCATTTAAAAATTTTAAATTTCAAAATTTTAAAAATTCAAATATAGTTTTTCTTGACAAGATGATTTTAAATAAAAAAGTTGTTAACTACAATGTTTCATAACTTTTTGGGATCTACAACTTTAATTTTGGTAGTTTCTGCATTCGAGGTCATTTACAAAATTTGAATTTCAAATTTTAAAAATTCAAACGTAGTTTTTCTTGACAAGATGATTTCAAATCAAAAAGTTATCATCTATAAAATTTCGTAACTTTCTGAGATCTACAACTTTTATTTTGGTCATTTGATTATTTACTAATCCGACATAGTGGTAGTAACATTGTTCACAAATGTTACATATCTCTCTTATAGTTTATATAAATTTTGTGAACAATATTACTACCACTTTATCGGATGAAGAAATGACCAAAATAAAAGTTATAGATCTTGATAAGTTCTATAACTTTTTATGTTCATGACTTTTTCAATTGAAATCATTTAGTGTTCCAAAAT